ATATGTGTTAGATATATATTTAATGATATACAATGTGCAAACCAGTTATGGTTCTATATGTGTTAAGATGTGTATATATATGATATTATTACTTAAAACTTTGTGTTAAGTATACACTAGTTAGCGTTGCTTAAACGGAGATAGTATTGAAAATTGATTATAAGCATTGTAGTTTTGCCTAGTGATGGGCTAAGACTTAAAAAGGGATGTTTAGTTCAATTAAGTTTGGACATTGGGTAGCCTCTTATTAAGAGTACGTGTGTGGTGAGATTGATGATCGGTGGAGTACGTCCTACGTACATAAGTACATTTTATGTACGAAGTCTTTTTCAAAGCTCTGTGTCTTAGGTGCTGCTTGTGTCGGGGTATTATTATGTTCTCGGGTATGAGTCCTACTCATACCAGGGTACTATAATGTGCCAGAAGTACTATCATGTACAAAGTCTTTTTTTGACACTATTGTGTGTCGGTTACGGGAGCGTACGGGAGTACTCTATTAGTATGTCCCCATACTTTTTATTTTGAAAGAGCTTTGGAGTCATCGTTTCTTTTATGAAGTGATCGGACGATCTTCATGTGTCAGCGTTTCCTTTCACGAAGTAATTGAGGGAACTTCGTAGATTGCCTAATAAAGTGTGTCGGTAATAGACCACTACTAGGTATGTTTGGTGTTATATTGCCAGATAGGGTGAGTCTGGGGGTAAAATACCTCATGGTGTCAGACCACTGCTAGGCAAAGTTAGATGCCGGATAGGGTGAGTCTGGAGGTAAAATACCTCACGATGTCAGACCACTGCTAGGCACATTTATCTAGATAACTACCCCTGACTTAACTGTCTTGTGGTTTTTACAAACGGAGGTTCGTGGTGAAACTTATTCCATTCCCCTCATTTGATGTCTTTATTGATCCTCGTTTGCTGCCAGGGAATTTCCGAAGCAGCTTCGTTAGTTTGTTGTTCATATCGATCCTTTAGGCTAGATCTCGTAAGATCATTAGGATCAGTACGTGGGGATCGACGGGATGGGATAGATTGTTTTAGAGATATGATATATCTGTTTTAATGATAATAGTGGTTTTGCAGGTTTGAGATATATATTATTATCACATTGTGGGATTGAAAAAACCCTATGTATCTCACCAGGTTTCCCAACCTGACCCACTCAATTCATTTATATCACATGTATCGATATGAAGCTACTTTACACTGAGAGATTAAAGGAGATGTAGATCACTAGTGTAAATAAATGTAAGGTCTGTTTATGTTTATGTTTCAATATTGATGATGACATCCCAAAGTTTTAATATAAACAAAATACATTTATTCGGAAATGCTTTGATAATATATTTATCATGTTTTTTTGGGAACAAATTCCGCAACAAATTTCTTTAAAAATATACTCTGATTTTCAAATAAAGCATAAACAAATCGGTCTTTTCGGGCCGTGAAAATGGGGATGTCACAGATGCTAACATGAGAAACAAAGTATGTATGTGCATAATGAACAAACCATAAGTTCACAACCCAAGCCTAATGACCGATGGGTGCCCTATAGAGATCTATGTGTATCACTCACATAGATAGAAATGGTAATATGCACTCTGCAAACTGTGCGAGTGAGGAGTTTGCTACCTCCTAATAGCGTTATCCATAATGACCATCGGCTCGAAAGAGTTAATGAGTTGTGTAAAATGTTACATGGACTTAACCACGATAAGGCCTCATGAATCAAAATAGCATACACACACATAGCAAAATATAGCAACCAATTTTGATACAAGTCAGATTAAATACAACGAACAATAAATAGTTTTTGGACATGTTTTTCCACCCCAAAACGTAAAAAACGAAAATAGAGGTTGTGAATACTCATAATTGTTCGAGAATGTACTAATGATGCCTCGGGATACCTCCACATGTCTCACTACCGGGGTCCTATGATAATGAATACACGCTAGTGAGTTTCTAAATTGAAGAACTAATACTAATATACTTAATCCTACATATAAAGAAATACCAAGATTGTTTAACACTTAATTTTGTATAAGTTGTAACTGTTTTCTGAAATTATCAAATTTTTATAAGCTATTCAACTTAAGGATAATTCCTTATAATAAATCCTAAATTTGGTTATATTGTTTGTAATGTGTTTTAGCATTTCCAATGATGTTTTAAAGGCTAAAAATTAAAAAATAATATTAAAACAACTCAAAAAATTCCCGAAAATTTTCCTTCTGATCCTACCGTAATGGAGAATCCTCATGAAATTTTTCATGATTTTTAAACATGTTTAACTATTTTTCTTCCATTCAGTTCCTTCAAATCATTATAAAACCGTGAAAAATACTAACTATTAATAAAAAATTTCAATTTTTTTTGTACAACTTATATACAATGTATATTATAATATAAACTGGAAAAAAATATCAAAAGTGTTTTTCATATAGTGGAGTTTGGTTTTCATGATTTGTGTGTATTTAATGTAAGAAACATAGAATAAATTGTAAACAATTAATATAATTCCTCAAAAAAAATTAAAACTGTTTTATATTGCATATAAATTGGGAAAAATATCAAAATTGATTTTCAAGCAGTGAAATCTAATTTTTTGATTTATGGGTGTTTAATCTTAGAAAAATAAAAATAAATAGCAAACAATTGAAATAAATCCTCAAACTTTCCACTTTTGGTTAGAATATAATCATGGGAGTTTTGGTTAGTTTATATGATTTCTGGAAGGGTTTAGATATTTTTCCTCATTTATTCCATTAAAAAAGCATTTAAAGTGAAAAACAAATAGTAAACAATAGGGAAAAATCACTAAAATTTTTATTTAGTATCCTAATATAATAGAAAAGGTCATGGTAAATTTTCATGGTTTATGGAAAAGTGTATCTATTTTTCCCCGATTTAGTCCATTAAATACACAAAAATCGTATAGAAATAGGATTAGGTGATGAAAAACTCTAAAAATATTTATATTAGTGTTATAAAAGGTCTAGAAGCTGCGAAAATTACTATATATTCATTTCATATATCATAACTTGATTTCATGATTTGTTTGTGTTAAACAAAAGAAAAATTAAAAATCATAGCAAACAGTAACAAAATTAGGTGAAACTTATGGGAGATGTTTATGTACTTTATGGATTATGCACGAATTTATATAGGATTTATAGACCTCAGAAAGTATTTTATGTGAATTATGGCTTTATTTCCTTGTAAAAATTACAATAAATCAAGGAAATCAAAACAATTTTTCAGAATTTCCAAATCATCTTATATTGTTACTGAGATTCTGAGAAAAATTTTGTTTGAACAGAAAAAGGACATTTAGATTTTTTTGTGAATAAAATCCTTTATAAACATTTTTAACAATGTACTTTAATCTTTCCAATTTTATCGAATGTCCCGATGTGTTTTCATCCCATTCATATCCTTTATAATTCTCTAAAAATCTGAATTTTTACCTTGAGCCTTACATTTGGCATTTCTTATCTATCGTTCAACACCTTGGATTTTTTTTTGGTTAATTATCCACTTTTTCTTTTCTTCGATCGTTGCTAGAAAATACCCTTTCTTTCTTGACTGATTTGCTTAGAAACTGGTTTCATCCTTCAAACCTCTGCTTCTTTGACCCGTACAACGTTCTTCATCACACATGGCATCATTCAAGGCTTGATCTCATTGTTGGAGGTTGAAGGGCAGTTAAATCAATGGTCGATTTTGGACAGGTCAAAAGACATTTTGTAGGAGGAAAAAAGGTTAAGCTTCTAAGTTAATTTGGAGAGTAAATGACTCAATGCAATTTTTTTGTGAATTATGTTGTGGTTTTAACATGTTTATATAGTGGTATGTGGGAATTCATGTGAATTTATAAAGAGACGATTTAGATGAAAGTTGAGTAGATCAATTGATAATAATATTATTTGAGAGTTGGTTTATTCATAAACTAGTTGTGAGACTCATGTATTACATCAGTTAATTTAAAAAAAAAAGTTAAATATAAATATCAAAATATTTGAGAAATTTGAATTTATAAGAAAATAAGAAAAATAATGATTTATTATAATGAAAATGTTGTTTATCTTTTAGATTTAAACAAATAATTTAAATAAAGAAAAGAAACTAATGAGTTTTAATTTTGAGAATTTTGAAATGAAAAGATAAGTTTATTAGTGAAATTAATATCCATTTATTACTACATTTATTGTAATTATTATATTAAAATATTATGTGGAATTTAATAAAATAGAAAAATCTTATAAAATGACATGTGAAAAAAAAATTAGTTCAAAATAACCATAAAATGACATTTGACAAATTGAATGAGAGTGTGACAAATGACAAAAAAAAAAAAAAAATTTCATTTATTAGACAGTATTATAGTGTTAGTTGGAGTGAATGGATTTTTAAATTATTTTACCTCTACAAACATGGTTGGATTTTTATAGCCACATTTACAATTTTTTTTAACCGGCAAATATGAATATATATATACTACTTATAACCACATTTAGATTTTTTTTAACCGGCAAATATATATATATATATATATATATATATATATACTCTTTTTCTAAACTAACACCTAATTCACCTAGGTCGACAGGACTTGAACCCTCGACTTCAATGAGGGAGGGCACCACCTGATACCGCTAGGCTAGAAACCCTTTGGTTATAGCCACATTTAGATAGTACTTTTAAACATTTACCAAAAAAAAAAAAAAAAAAAACTTGTCTGTAATCCGAGATGTCCGGAATGCAAATTCCGGAAAGCATGATCATTTTGGTGAATTTCGAAAAATGAAAACATTGTTGTTTGTACCTCATAAACTACATACTACGTAATATAAATTAACCAAGTCAAGACAAGTTTTTTCAATATTTATTTGTTTAATATAATAAGATAATTAAACCATATTTCAATTAGAAAAGTTAGCGGCAAAGTGAAAGATAAAAAGAGTTTGTATATATAAGACTGATTTAGTAGCGAAAGAGCAACAAGCAACATCAGGTCTGAGTTGCAGTCATGGGGGAAGCAGTGAAAGAGTCGAAGATGATTGAGGATGTAAGATCGGCAGTGTTCAAGCATTCAGAAAGTTTAGAAGGCAGTTGTGCTAAAATCCAGGGCTACGATTTCAACGATGGAATTAACTATACACAGATTCTTAAATCCCTACTTTCCACCGGATTCCAAGCTTCTAACTTTGGTGACGCCATTGAAATCGTTAATGAAATGGTACTGGTTTGTTCTCAAAATCTTAATTTCCTACTTTATTCAACAGAATATATGATTTGCTTTATTTTTTCTCTTCATTTTTGCATGATCTTGATGGGTCCCTCCCTCCCATTTGATGATCGTAGCTAGACTGGAGGCTTTCTCATGAGCAAGTAACACAAGATTGCAGTGAGGAAGAGAGTAATCCAGTATACAGAGAGTCTGTCAAGTGCAAAATCTTTCTAGGGTTCACTTCAAACCTCATTTCTTCTGGTGTTCGAGACATTATTCGGTATCTAGCTCAACATCATATGGTTAGTCATTTGTAACTTTCATGCTTATGAACAATTAAACAAACATATCAGAGTTTTATTCTTTTACAATATATATATATATGTACGTTTTAAATCCATGCAGGTTGATGTGATTGTGACAACAGCCGGTGGCATTGAGGAAGATCTGATAAAATGTCTTGCAGACACATACAGAGGTGAATTTTCTCTACCTGGTGCTGCCTTAAGGTCAAAAGGACTAAATCGTACTGGTAATTTATTGGTGCCTAATGATAATTACTGTAAGTTTGAGGATTGGATTATCCCAATATTAGACCAAATGCTTCAAGAACAAAATACAAAGGTTCGTATTCATTCTACTTTACTTTCATTCAAGGTGTTGTTCATTTACACTTTACATGACTCTATACCCTTTGTGTTGTACAGCATGTGTTATGGACCCCATCAAAAGTAATATCACGTTTGGGGAAGGAAATTAATGACGAAAGCTCATATCTATATTGGGCATATAAGGTAATCAATCGCATGTTCACCTCCATTTTCACGTTTCTTGAATGTTAAACTTTTATCTAACAAAGTTATATAACTTTTTTATTTATAAGATTAACTGTATCTTTTGTTGCGATTTTAACATGATTACTCCATTGTAGAACAATATTCCTGTGTTTTGCCCCGCCTTGACAGATGGGTCTCTCGGAGACATGTTATATTTTCATTCGTTTCGCAGTCCTGGTCTTGTTATTGACATAGTACAAGGTGACATGGCAATTTTCTCTTTATTTTGATTTTCTTGAGTACATATCATGATTTTATGGCTATGGTTGATATAGGTTGACAAGTTTGTTTGAACTTTGAACAGATGTGGTGGCGATGGACAGTGAAGCTGTGAATGCAAACCCTAGAAAGACAGGGATGATACTTCTAGGAGGAGGATTACCAAAACATCACATTTGCAATGCGAATATGATGAGAAATGGTGCGGATTATGCTGTTTATATCAACACTGCTCAGGAATTTGATGGCAGTGATTCAGGTGCTCGTCCCGATGAGGCTGTGTCATGGGGGAAAATTCGTGTTTCTGCTAAATCTGTCAAGGTTTTTCATCAAATTAATTGCAATATTCTTCAAATTAATATGATTTTGGTTTCTTATCATTGTCATGATTGTAATGTTGACTGTTTTGATCCAGGTGCACTGTGATGCAACTATTGCGTTCCCATTACTTGTCGCTCAAACATTTGCTGCAAAAAAAACACAGAAACCAAGTTCCTGATAAATGTTGATTTACGCAAAGCTTTGATTTACTTTTATATATTTGGTGAGAATAAAAGATTATAAGGTCCATAGCGAGCGATACCTGCTTGTAACTTATTTACAAAAAAACGTTTGTATTTAACTCGTTGATTTCAAGTACGTACACTTGCATTAATTAATGTATTCAATCAAGCCTTCACATGATCTCAACACTTGATTCTTTTGGCTCTTACAACATTTTCATTTTTTGGTGGTAGCAAAGTAATACTAATATATATTATTGGAAGTCTATACAACTCTATAAACTTATTCCATAGACCCAAAACTTATATAAAAAATCATAAACAAAAAAAGCTCACAAGAAATCATTCCTATTACAACCATGTATCAAGATAAGTCTGTCTGTCTGTCTGTGTGCCTTCTATAAACAAACCAAATTGAAATATAATATATATAAACAAGAATCCAGCTGAAGCAAAACGTGCTTCAGATGTTACATGTATTATGTGCTAAAAAGACAATCAACATATCATATATATGTACTTCACTTGTGCTCGTTTCGCAAGGTTTGTAAACGAGCAGCAAAAGTGTCATAATCAGGAAGCTTCGGGTGAACATAGCTAGGTTTCTTTGCTATATTTTCTACACTCGGTTTTTCTGTTTTCCCAACAATCTTCTTTTCACCAGATTCATCACTGTTTCTTGGAGTGGGCCCACTTTCCATTTCCTTTTTGGGCTTTTGTTGTTGTCCTTCCATGCTACTACCAATTTCTGTTGTCTTTCTTGAATTGAACCGAGACTCGGGTGAAAGTACTGTTTTGGGCTCAGGGTCAACACGAGTCTTTGAATTAGAAACGGAAGGAGATCCTCTAGTCCTTCTAGAAAGCTCTGTACGCAAACGAACACTGCTAATTGGAGCCTTTTTTGAAACCTCCTCAGAAGCAGTTTCAACATCATCATCATCATCATCATCAAAGAATGGAGTAGGCGGCACAAACCGTGATCTCGCCGGAAACTTGTCGCCGGAGTCATCTGAATCTGAATCAGAAGTTGAAATAGTAACACTTGCTTTCTTATCTCCCATTCTGCCCGCTCTTGAATCCAAAGAACTATTAAGAGATGTTTCATTTTCAGTTATAGTCACAGAACTTTCATCAACCGATTTTTTGGACAAATTCAAGGCATTAGTTGTTGTAGGTTTTGTATACGGTGGGAATTTAAGAACACCACCTTTGTTTCGAAGGCCACCTGTCAATGTTCCAAACTTCAACTCTTTCCCAAAATCATCATCATTGTTATCTTCCAATGAGTCCTGTTTTTTAAGTAAAATGCTTGAAGAGTGTCTTTTCTCTTCATCTTTGGGATCATCATCAAAAGACGATTCCTCTTCAACCAAATCATTCAACTCAATTCGGGATTTTCTTGGTAAAGTCTCGGGATTTGCAGACAAAACATTATCCAACTTGTTATTCCCATTAAACTCGCTTTCACTTTCACCATCTGAATGATCAAAACTCACAGGAGCACCATCTTCTGTTTCTGAAGGTTCCATGGATTTCACAGAATGCTCACCGAAAGAGACACTTTGTGAAAAAAGATTCGATTCAGAACTCATCTTTTCAAATTTAATACTCTCGTTTCTTTTAGGGCTCCAAACGTGAGCATGTTCTAGAGAATGAGTAGAAGATTCTAGACCTGGAGACTGAAAGTATGAAGTGGCCTCAACTTCATCATACTCAAATCCTGTATCAAACTTTGGGCCATCATCATCATCATCATGATCATCATCAAAAACTGCTTCATTGTCTCTTTGATCATCAAGATCTGATTTTGACTTTGTGGATTGACTAAAAGCATTTCTTTGATCAACAACTGCAAAAGGATTCCCAACAACACTTCTTTTCCCAGCTTTCCGATCATCAGAAACAACTTCATCATCAGGTTCATCACTGGAAGTGGTGGAATGAACACATGGTTGCTTTTTAAACATTTCTTCTGCAAATAAATTAATATTTTCGGATTCAAATCCTTCTTTCTTGCCACTCTCAAACTCAGTTTTAGATTCTATCAAAGAAGTCTTCCTGCTAGATCTTGTATTAGCCTCATGAAATCTGTCATTATCCTTTTCTCCATGTTCATTTCGATTAATTTGCTGATTCGTTATCTTAGGTTTTCTATCACCAGAGAAGCTATTTTTCTTCCCACTCTCTAACTTAGATTCTTTAGATGAATTTGATTTGTTGGATCTTGTATTAGCCTCATGAACTCTTTCATTATCTTTTCGTTCATTTTCATTTTCACTTTGATCCATTTGCTGATTAATTATCTTTGATTTTCGAGGGGTTTCGTCTCTAGTAGTGATCTTTTCATGACTTGCAAATTGGGCAGCAGCTCGGGCAGCTATGGCTGCCCGTTCTGCAGACTCAGCTGCTGCTTCTGCTGCAGAAGTAGCATCTTTAAATCCCATATTCCAGTTCTGCCCACCTGATGAAAAATCATCATCACCCCTCATTTCCATCTTCTCAGAAGTTATTCCTGATCACAGCAAGAAACAACATATAAAAAACAAAAATAAAAAACCAGAAAGATTGGTACATTGATCAATAGTTATACCTGAAGATGATGTTGCAACCCCATTATCAACTACATATTTTCTATTCTGTTCAGCAAAGTCGAGAGGTGGGCCCGGTTTTTTTTCATGGCTATGAACAGCATTGACATTTGAGGGCTGAATCTTTGAAGGATTTGCATTCGCCATGCTGGCATTTTCAAAACTATTCGGACCATTCTGCTCAAATAATAAAAGTTACATATTTCTTCATGTTTTTTTATATAAAGAATACTAAAAAATCAGCAAGAAAATAAAAAAATTCAGTCTCACCAACAAATCATTTGGAGGCTTTGACTCTTTCTCCTCGAATGAAGTTGGTTCCCAATTGATATTATGTTCTTTTGCAATGGCAGTTAATACTTTGACTTTTGTCTGAATATCAGGAGCTACTGCAGATAACTTCTCAACCAACTGAAAAATAAAACAAATATTATTTTCAAATTCAGATAAAAAAAACAATGAAAAAAAAGCATGAGTCAACTTACCATGCGGCTTACACCAGAATCAGGCCTTAGCTCGAGAGCTGCAGAAACAAATTCTTTTCCGTATTTTGAAGTAAATTGTTTTTTAATATCCACAAGTTCTGATATATCAGAACATCTTGGAGCTGCAAATAACACACTTGTCACAGCTTCCTTCAGATCAATGGGACAAGTTCTACATCAAGTAATTGGTCAGAAAGTCAACAATGGAAAAAAGTAATGAAGGGAAAGTGTAAAGAAAGATAGCTTACTTTTGGGATTCAATAATGGGCATGCGTGCTACGATAAGTTCACAGTATATATCAATTAACTCGTATGCTGCCACCATCTTCTCTTCCCTGATTACATGTTCAACCTGATGGAATAATGAAGATACGAAATAAATAAAATTTTCAGGGAAATGGGATATAAGAAAAGGACGGAATAAGGTCAAGTGTCAAAACTAAAAGGTACTGAAAAAGTAGATTAAAAGTTACTTTTGGTAAAATACCTAGTGAATAGAAAATTTGCCAGTGTTCACATAAAGATTGGCAATGCATTTATTTATTAATTCTTTAACTAATCAATTTGCCAAAAACTAAAAACCTTGATATCGCAAATCCAATTATTGACGCAATATATGTTTTGTTAAAACTGATTATCTTGATTCTGATTAATTCATATCACAAAATCACTTTCAAAACACACAACCAAAGATCCCCCTAGTTCACTATGGTAATCACGAAGGCTACAACATATTGACTGTTGTTGGCATACAGTATACAACAAGATGCAACAAAGATCTGGAATGCTAGGGTTTTCGTTTTTACACAGAAGTGCTCTTGATTGTCTTGCAAATTGTATTATTGTTCTTCATCATTAATCATTTGAATAATCAAATAAGATAACGTACTCGAATTCGTGCAGTACGATCCTGGCCTGTCTCAAGCAATTGAGCTAATTCCCTCTTCATCTGATTAATCTGTACTCCCTTCTTATTTCTCATTAACTTGATCCGGGATGTCGCCAGTTTCAGAGACGTTTTACTGCATCAATCGAACAAAAACAAGATAAACAAGATCTTCAACAAACATATCAAGTAAGAGTTTGTAAAATCATGTATGAATATTTACCATTTCGCGGGCTTGAAGCTTTTGTGAAGCATTGTCGATGATATGTGCATGACCCTCCAATTGGATCAACGGTACGATCTATGATTTATACAGTTAGAAGATTAGGGTTTCTCTTTTGTAGAAGGGAACGAAACCAAAAAACGAATAGATGTAAACACGAATGATGGAGAAAATATAGATTAAATGGAAAGAATTCGATGGAGTATCAATTTCTTGGATTTGAAGAATCGGATTCTTCGTCGAAATTTGCTCGAAGAAACAACGTATCAGGTAATGGGGTCGAAGGAACTGACCAAGACTTCTAGACTTCCAAGAAACTCACTCCGCTGGCATTTTTAATTTGGGTAAAGTACGCAAATCGCAAAACGTCTATAGTCCATACGCCATACGCCAGAAAGCGTGTTTAGTCTCTATTTTCAAATATTAACTCATACCGTCCCTCATTTGGTTTAAACTTGCACGTTTCATCCCTGAAATACGATTTTGTTGCGATTTTAGTCCATATCAGATTTGAAATGACCATAATACCCTTGTATATTTATTTTTCATCTAATATAATATTATTTATTATTATTTATAATTTTAAAAAGGAAATGGGCCCACTCCCACCCACCATCTACCCTAACCTCACCCCACCGCGAAGACGTCTGAAATTCCACTTCCACCACTGTGAAAACCTTTCCTTCTTTCTTTCTTCTTCTTTCGTCTGTGCAGAATAATTGGTGAGGTCATCTTCTGCCGGCAACATCATCTTCCTCCGGCGAGCTTCAAATGTGGTCGATTTGGCCGATGTTGTTGAATTCGAAGATTTGACCTCAAAAGAAGCCTCATATAGTAACAGGATGGTGTTTGAGTTCACCGGTGGTAGAATTTCAGAAATCACCACCACTCTGAACGCTAAAACCCCTCGCCAATTTACACCTCAGAAGTTATCATCGACCGCCAACCATGAAGTCGGATCCTAA